ATGCGAACATACCTCTATTCAATAAAGTATGGTGTCATTAATGATTGAACAGAACAAAATTAGGCTTATTTAGCCTGGGGGTATTGCGACCTTAGTTTTAGTAGCATTACTACATAAATCACCAACTAAAAACATACAATAACATCATACCACTATCCATGAACTGATTACTGGACAAACAGTGTTTTTTATTTGTTGACATGTTAGGAGATATTATAAACAAGTATTCTTAAGTAAATAAAACGGTTGTAAATTTTATTTCACCTGACTTTCTGAAAATTGAATTTTATAAACGTTTTATTTCGGCTACTTAAATAGAAACAATAATTCTAGTAAATGAACTCGAACAAGTATGCCAGATAAAGGGTAAGGACTGTCCTTTATTTGGCAATATTATAATCATGATATAGGATACTATTATATAGCAAATAAACTCCCCTTACTTAATCAATCAAACTACATAGAGATCGATAACATTTTGGTCTTTGATATTATATTTTCTCATGGTAAATCTTCATACCATTTTTATGATATACGGGACGACTTTTCTGTTCTTACTCTTAACTTTCTTTTCTCGATTGTGGTGTATGGTTGAATCCTTTTGATGGTAAATTTCTAAGTTGTTTCTATATGAACGCGTTTGAAGTTGCGTTTTGGATTTCAATGAACGCATGAACATAATTAAATAAAAGTTTAATAAAGCAATAATAGAATGCTTATTTTGTTTGTTTGGGTTTTTTTTTGCATTTGAATTTTATACAGATTGTTTTGTGCATTGCAAAAAATTTTCTGCGACGTACAACCATCGATATTAAAGCTTTGGACATTATGGTTTTATATTATAAACAGGTAAAGCAGTTATAGAGATAGCGTTTTTTCTGTGAACAGCGAACGGTCTTTGATACTGTATAGTTATGTTTTTTTATTATTGTTTTGTTTGTACTTTTATTTTTGTAACCTATTATATCGTAAGTTTTGAAGTTTCGCTCCCCCCTTTTTTACTGCATTATGTTCTTTTATGTTCCTTTTGTTAGTCTATGGATTGAAATTCAAAAGGATATATTAAGATTTAAAAAAAAGCGATAACTTAACCCTAAGAACACCACAACTTAACCCCAAGTCTTACATAACTTTGCCCCAAGTCTACCCCATATTCATGTGCGTGTTCCAATATAACTTGAACAACGCCGTTGCTTGTCTTTTCTCAAATTTTTAAAATGATTTTGTTATTTGAGGAATTTGGTATCGATTGCAGATCTTTGGTTGTTTCTATTTACTTTATTCACAACACTGAAGTTTTAGATTAGGGACGATTTGCAGCTTCACATATTTTGTAGACATGGTAGATGACTATTGAATATCAAAATAAGAAGATGTGGTACCATTGCCATTGAGACATTATTCACCTCAGAAAAAAGAACGAGAATGTATATAAATATAAGTCACTGTACGGCCTTCAACAATGGGCAAAGCATGTACTGTATTGTAGGCTATAAGAAGCGCCGACATGACAATGATCGACGCGAAACAGTTCAAAAGAGAAAACCAACAGCTTAATGTACATGATGTATATTAAAAACAATAATCGAAAAAAAAAAAAAAACAAATATGGCAGACAGCATTTTTGTTTGCGGTATTTTAACTATATATTTTATATTTGCCTAATAGATTATTATTCACGTCTCATTTTGATACGTGCATATATATAGGTAAGTACAACAACCTCCATACTTGCAATATCTCCATGATCTATGTCATCTATATCTGATAAATATATTCACCTAAATCATGTTAATTTCAATCAATAAATTAATGAAAAAAAAAGGTTAAAAAACGTATACAGTAAAGTAGTCCTAATAATAATATTCTATATACGCTATGTTTATCATTTGTTATGTTCAGGTGACTGACTCAGCACAGGCTGTGCCAATACATAATCATGATAATCTATTTATAGTTTATGGGGTTTTTGTACTTTCATTTTCCCATGTTTCCAGAAGTTTTACTTTCGAAAATTCCGACTGACTGGAAATTTACTGTCAAAGCCAATCATTGTACAAAGTGCATGCAATTTACAGCTTTAAAGCAGTATATAAATAAAATAATGTATTGTTCTTAGTATTGCATTTGTATATTCTCACATTAAACGTTTACAATGGAAGAAATAGATTATTTCATGGAACAGATACCGTGTTTACTATCCTGTACATGTTTTGCCGGAGCTGTGACTGTGTATTATAAAAGAAATTTCCGGAGCGATAAACTTCCGTTAGTGTTTTTCCTCATCCTGTCAAGTATATCGTCAAATCGTTCTGTAGAGAATAGTTCTCGCATATCGTTTATTATTACATTTAGTTTGTGTTGTTCTATTGTATACAACATTGTTAAACATTTAAAATGGATGAGCACTGTACGATTAGACTTCTTTCTGGCAATTTTGTTGACAGCATATGACTACAAGTTTGATATTTTAACCACAATTGGACGTTTAATTGGGATACCTTACAGCGTCAGCGCACAAAAATGTACGTGTATCATGAATTTTGTAAGAATAATGTTCGTTGTCATCCCACAGTTTATACGGAGGCCATCACAGCTGAAAGCCAAATTACAAGGACTTAGGAGTAAATTAGGACCAATATACATTATCTATTGCACGAAATTTGTAATGGAGTACACATACTATGGAACATTGACTTTGTATACAACGGGGATCTTTGCTGTCGTTTCAGCTGTAGTTGGCGGAGTGTTTCTGCGTCCTGACAACACTGCTGTTCTAGAAATTCTTGGATTTAGAACAAAAATGAACCTGAGAAAATATTTACATGGGCGCGGAATGATCATTTCATTTAGCTGCATTGCTTTGATGATGTTAAATGAACTTTTGAGTTTTTCAACATACAGTGTTTCTATCATAAAATTGTGATTTGATAATTATATATTGACCACTATAGTTATAAGCTAGCTAGTCAGACTCTGTTAAACAGTTCATTTATAATGTTTGGAATTGTTTAATTTTTTTTATATTACTGCCAGTAATAATACATTGCGAAATAGGGGCATTTAATTGTTGTGATTATATTTGCAAGATTCATTATTTATTTGAAATATGAAAAAAATATATATACATTTTACATTTTACTATTGTTAAAAATTAAATTGCTTTTGTTTTAAGTTTACTTTTCTTCTTTTTGGAAACATGCTTGGTTATAAACTACAGATTAACAACATTATCAGAAGATTCACCATATGGCGCGTGCGTCCTGGATTTTGCTTGTTATAAAGCATTAACAAGGCACCACCACTTTTAGCATCGATCCGGTTGAGCGGGGGTTTTTTTTAGTGTGAAAGTTGTGATCTTCTGACCATGATGACATAGAACAAAAACTTGAAAATATCAGTTTTCAGTTCTTTTTCTATATATAAATATAAGGAGATCTGGTAGCCTAGGACTTCTATATTCCAGAGTTTAAATTACGTTGATATACTAAATTATAGGCCACCGTATTGCCTTCAACAATGAGAAAAAAAAAACCACTACATTATATTCAGTTATAAAAGGCCCCGACATGAAAATTGTGAACTTGTGACAGTTAAAACCTGAAAGCTAACGACTTAATTTATAACAATATAATTTACGAAAAACAAATTTGAGAGACATGAACCAACGACAATTACAGGCGCTTAACCATGTTAACTTGGGACATGCACATAAAAATGTGACGGGGTTAAAGATGTATGTGAGCGCTCAACTCTCCCCTTATCTGGGACAGTGGCGTAACAGCACAATATAAGATCATACTTTAAAAATCAGTTGCAGATGGCTTAATTCAAAAAAGTAGATCGGTACGAAGCACACACAAAAGAAAAACTCCAACTAACATAAACACAATAGACGCAAAGTACTGATATTAGAGTTCTCGCAGTCACTGAAAGCTAGTTCAACGCAAATTACAGCTGTTAAATAAATCCTGATCTCCTAGAAAGGGCTCAACTCATCAGATCGATACAAAGCAGAAAAACAACTAACAAAAACACAGACCGGACGTGGCAGGGAATTTATACATCCCTAAAACAAAAAAGACACCAAGTACAAGTCTGGATACTCACAGTTACTGACAGCTAGTTCAAAGTCAATAACAACTAATAAAAACATTATGTATCTTAGACTAAAATATCAATCAGTACACATCCAACATCCAATTGATTTAGTATCACGGTAAAGACGTCATTAAATAAACTTAACAGTCAGAGAAAAACATGTGCAATGCCAAAATACAGGTATCAACATATTGTAGAACCCTATTTGATTTTTGTTTGTTTGAATGTCCTTGACCTCAGTATTTTTGAAATATTTGTCCTTGGACGGTTAAGCAGCAATAATCGAACACAAACAAATAACATACGTAACAATATTTTCTACAGCTATGTGAATAAATTGTCGAGGTTCGTGTCGCTCAATCTTTTGTTTCCTTGTACTGTAGTGTTGTAAACTGTAATTTGTCATTTTTCTATTCAGTGACCTTCGGTGTTGACGGTCTGTTTAAACTTTTACTGGGGACAAAGTTGTGTTTTTTTTTGTTTGCCGGTCTGCTTGCTGGTAGGTTAAAAATGATCTACTCATCAAGGTCGTCGGTTATGTAGCTTTCTTTGTTTGGGTCTGCGTGCTGGTAGGTTTAAGATGATCTACTCATCAAGGTCATTAAGAAAAAACACGAAATAGTATAACAGAAAATCTTTTAAAATTTAAAGTAAAGAGCCCCCGATAGTAGATAGATCTATGACCCTGGCCTGTGTTTTTATTGTTGCAAAAGATGGGGCTACATTTGTACTTGAATGAATGATATATGAAAGCTTCTGATTTCTAAAGGTAAATCTGGTATAAAAAAAATAAATTCAAGACATATATTTCCATTAAAGTCAATGCATAGGAGATTTTTTAATGAATTTATCCCAACGAATAATTTAAACTATGAAGGATTGTTTCCCCTTGATTTAAATCTTGTGTGTAGGAAGTTTGAACTTCCTTGACAAATATGTAAACAAAAAGAACGAACAACATGGTAAGATTTAAACCATTAAAAAAGGTTAGAAAGAACAATTACTTTTAGGGGACGACTTAATTAGTCCTATAATATAAGACTTCGGAGTTTCATATCATTTACATTCAACGTTTTTTTATCGGATATTTTTTTTTTACTATCAATGTTGAACATTGATAGTAAAAAAAAAATATCCGATAAAAGACGTTGAATGTAAATGATATGAAACTCAGAAGTCTTATATTATAGTACTAGGGGACGACTATTTAATGATTTTGGGGAGTAGGGGAGGAACGATTTTTATGGGGATTGATTATTCATCTTCATCATATGCATGCCATGCATGCCGTAAACTTTATTTTCCTCGGAAATTAATTTTCACTTACCTATATATACACAACTGTTTCCTACATCTTGTGTTGCAGAATATTCATTTTCATCCTGTCTTAAACCAAGTTATTTATTTTCAGCTCTTACCAGGCCAGGATATTTATTTTAAAATCTTCCTGCCCTCCCTCACCCCCCCCCCCCCCCCCCCCCCCCCCCCCAAAAAAAAAAAATCAAATGGTCTTGAGTAATACATACCTGCCTACTTTACTTGACTTAGTGTCAATATGCATACCTGATCTCCTTAATTCAAAACAGTCACAAATATAACGGCCCAGTTTTTCCATTAGAGTTAATGATGATGATTTTCTTGAGTCAAGAGCCATAAAAATTTAGAAGATTTATTTAAATTTTTAAAATTATAACAATTGTCAGATATGTATTGAAAAAAAGTCTTCCCTTTGAGTATCATAAAGAGGGCATTCTAACAAAAAATGAAGCTCATCTTCAACTTTACCAAGTGAGCAATTTGAACAAATTAAGGCGCTCAGATCTTTCTATATCTTTTTTTGAATATCTGTCGTCTCAATTTTTAAAGAGTGAGCGCTTATTCTTAATTTACAATAAGATGATATAAAGAAAAAGAAGAAAAAGTAGATACAGACTGTATATATACCTTTAAGTGATTGATGGTTGTCTACTCTGAAACAGTGATATCTTTAGATAGATATTTTTAGGTTTTAATGTATTTAAAAGTGTTGGTACAGCTTAAACTGATATGAAGCCTAATTTTATCACCAAGAATATGATGTAAATAAGTTAACAGTGATATTGGTGGAAGAAAATTTGTTCATGTTGTGAACTAAGAATACTCAGAAGAGGTGTGCCTACATTGGCAGAATTTATATAACAGAATTACAGAATTTGAATGCCTGTTTAGGGTGGTCAGTTTATTTAATAAAGAATTTGAAAATTTAAGTCAAAACCTCTCATGGGGGATATCCCCCATTAATAGGGATAGTTGGCAGGTCTATTAATAGTTTAATTACTTCTTTCAAGAAAGAGTGTTTTCAGTTATGTGGGCACGTTTTGAATAAAAATATTAGCATTGCAATGAAATTCAATAACATTAATATATGACATTACCATTAATTAGTAGACATGACATCATGATACCACTTATGACATCTATTGACCCCCTACATATCCATAGCCATGATAGGGGTCACCTAGTGATGGTGTTTAAGGGCATACGATACAGTTACAGGGGAGATAATGACGTTGCTAAAATAAAATGCTATTTTTCACGACGTCAAAGTGTGACATATTTGGAAAATATGCAGTTTTTGACTTATTTTAATCATTAACTTGAAAGCAAGTGCATTGAGCCCTATTTTTTAAATGACATTTGGCTTGATTATGTCTGAGGATTATTTGTACAAATTTTTATGAACAAATCACGGATGGAAATTTTTTAAATTAGATAAATATACCACAAAGAATGCCGTTTTTTATCTAAAATTATGAAAAGTTAATAAAAATGAATTATTTCCAAAGAATTGTTGCACAAATTTAGAGCATACTTTTGTAAATAAGATATATATTCCAAATGTTTTCACAAAAATCCTTTTGTGTTTATCTTTTTAAACAAAAAAGTTAGGAATGTCTATCCAATGGAAAAAAATATCCGGGAAACCGAAATTTTGAGTAAATGTCTAAAATTTACCACATTTATCTAAAAGTAGCACATGAAGGTATATTTTTTATTATATATTTGAATTGATTATAAGAAAAATAGCTTGTATGCAAATTGTCGTAAAAAAATCACTGTGTGATCAAAACTGTATTGTATGCCCTTAACCAATCACAATGTCACTAATTTACCAGAGGTGTGATAACCTATTGTATATTTTGACAAAAAATAAATTTAATATAAAAATAAGAAGATGTGGTATAATTGCCAATGAGACAACTCTCCACAAGAGACCAAATGACACAGAAGTTAACATTATAGGTCACCGTACAGCCTTCAATAATGAATAAAACCCATAGTCAGCTATAAAAGGCCCTGAAATGACAAATGTAAAACAATTAAAACAAGAAAACTAACGGCCTGATTTATGTACAAAACAATGAACGAAAAACAAATAGATATACAGCAAGAAACTACAACCACTGAATTACAGGCTCCTGACTTGGGACAGGCACATATTGAATGTGTCAGGGTTAAACTAGTTTGAAGACGCCAACCCTCCCCTAACCTGGGACAGTAATGTAACAGTACAACATAAAAACAAACTATAAAAATCAGTTGAAAAGGGATGAACTCATCAGATGGATACAAAGTCAAAATACATCTAACAAAAACACAGAGTTAAAGCTACTATATCATGATTATGCTATTTCACTGAGAGATATATCGATATATAGATTTGACAAATATCTGATGCATTTATAACAGTGGTTTTAAGTATCTGTAAAAAAAATGACATCTGATTAACCTTGTCACATATTTTATCTTGATTGCTTGACCTTATCATATATTTTGAACTTGACCACACATTACATAAGTGGCCCCTAAGTTTTTGTCTTTCCTTAACCAGTAGTCTTAAAGGCAACAAATTTCAGATTTTAAAGATATTTGCTTGTATGATACAAAAAAAAGACCATGTTATAAGTTTCTTATCTTTTTAGGGAAATGGTCAGGCCATCCTAACAGAAAAAGAAATTCAAGAAATAAGAGATGAAACACCATGTAAGTCATATTGAAGCTATTTTGTAGAGGATTATCAATTTTTTTTAAATGATTTGAAAGTCATATCTGGTTAGTTGCATCTTGAAAATGACAACGATATATATATATACAGTGAAAACTCCGTGTATCACTGGATTTGTACTTGAATGAGCAACAGGACAGGTACCACATTTGGAGCAGGAAATGCTTACCCTTCTTGAGCACCTGAGTTCACTCAGTTTTTGGTGGAGTTAGTGTTGCTCAATCTTAAGTTTTGTGGAATGATTTCCAATACCACAACTATCCAACAGATTCCAAATAATGTGGATGTTAACAATTATGGGTCACTGTAAAGCCTTCAACAATGAGCAAAACTGACATACCGGTACCCTATAGTTAGCTACAGGCATAAAAGGCTATACTGACAAAATTTGAAACAATTTGAACAAGAAAACCAATGGCCTGAGTTATGACAAGACAATAAACAAAAAAAAACATAACAAACAGCAACCCAACAACAGCCACTGAGACAATTATACATAACTGTTGTGATGCCTCATTAAAGTCAATATATTGAGTGATATTATATTTATTTAATATTACAACAGAAATAAAAGATTTGTTGTACCACTATGGCTTCATTTTATAGTATTTCTGAAATTCCATTGTGAGGGTTTGGGTTTACAGAATAGAAAATAATGTGCAAAAATTATGGAATAAGGAAAAATAAATGGAGGATTCCCCCCACTTGCATATAACTTTATAAAGGGACATAACTAGAACACTGTAAAAGTGACGCCACCAAATTCGAACTTGATCTGTGGTACTACATAATATGTATAAGTTTCATAACATTTGGTTTAGGCAAACTAAAGTTAGAGAACAGAACTAATTTTGGGAGTACTTATGGACTGACGGTTGGACGGATGGATGGACAAAGGTACCACTTAATGCCCCCTCCACCGCCCCAGAGGCATAAATAAAGAATTGAAAATAATATGGGGCTAACATATAAAATAGATAATAATTGCCCCCCCCCCTCCTTCCCTCCAAAATAAAACAAAACAGAAATTTCATCAAAAATAAAAGAATACAGAAATGATGTATTACCCCATCCAGACCCTCCGTTATAGTTTACATGTAGATATGTTCACATTCATTCAGAATAAAAGAGGATTATTCAGGTGTTCTATCTTCTCCTGTTTTATAGTTACTGATGCAGAGGTGAAATCATTGCTAAACAGATATGACGAGGTGGACACCTCAGAAAACAACTCCACAGGACTGAGTTACGATGATGTGCTGTATATGCCAGAATTTATAGGAAGTGTGTTCGCTCCACTTGTTATAGCAGCTAATGTGGATACCAAAACAAAACGTATTTATGCCAGACAGTTTATAAAAATATGTTCCATATTAAGTACACAGATCAAGGCTGAGGAGAAAAAGAAATGTAAGTATATTTATTCTTCCTGGTGTTGTGGTGCCATAAATTAGATCTAATATAATATTACCCTAAAATCAAACCAAAAAATGTAAAATATCTCAAAACAAGCCATCACATTATTAAGTTTTCAATATAGACAAAGGAGTTGAAGAAATGCTTCTATTACAAACTACCTTAATTTAATTGTGGACTGACCAATATGAAGGAAGATTTTTGTTAGTATAGGAATATGTGATTTAAGGAGCCAAAGGTTTTCATTAACCTTTTAAGACAGTTTTGTAAATATGAGGATTGCATGAAACTCATAATTATTTAAGTACTACATGTACCATGATTTATACAAAAAGCCAAAGATTAAAATCTGTAACAAAAAAAAACAAGAAAAAAATGTGAAACATGTTACAAGTGCGATAATTGTAAAATGGATAAGCCACCTTAATGTCCATTCTGATTCCATTCAACTAATTAGATACCACTCAGCATATAGGTCTTATTATTGTTAGTAAGATATGCATAATTCTAGTACAGATGAAAGAGAGGATATGGTAAAGATAAAATGTAGAAAAATAAATTAACACTGTTTGAATAACATGAACATTTTTACACTGAACATACATGTATTTTAAAATCTTGAAGTATATAGATATTAATGATCTGACAGTAATTAACAGTTTTTGAAATCTTCAAGTTAATAGAACTTATGTCAGATTAAAGATTTCATTACAAGATTGAAAGTCCTTCTGAACATGCATGAAATATTTGCCACTGGACATATATCAAAGAACAGTCAATCAATAAAGTTTGATAGAAAACTTTTTAGCAGAATTGAATCTGTTCCAGTGAAGCCCTTTAAAATAATATATATATTCCTTATCCATTCATTGCACTTTATCATGTTTATCATAGTAAAATCAATAAACCTTTATTTGTAGGAAAAATTGTTTGGGGGCATTTCCTAGTGAATAAGATTGGTTGATGTTTATTTTGAGAATCTGCTTGAAAAATATAGGACATGATTGTTTAAAATGTTTGTCATGATAGGATAAAGCAAAAAGATGTCTATCATCCAACCCTTTTTCATTTATTTTTAAGAACATCGTTTATGACTGACGATACTAAACATTATGTTTCAGATTTGTTTGAGTTATTGAACATCTATGGAACAGGACTGTTGACACATGATGAGATATATAGAATGTATAAACTGTTATTTTCTCACACCATTTCTGATGATCATATCCTAGCAATGACATTTAAAGCTCTCAACCATACATCATTACAAAAGAAGGGACAACTTACTAAGCAAGAATTTTTCAAGGTAACTATATTTTTGTAAGAAATAAAATACAAAAATATTTTTTTAATATAAATAAGAAGATGTGGTATGAGTGCCAATGAGACAACTCTCCATCCAAGTCGCAATGTATAAAAAGATAACAATTATAGGGCAAAGTACGGCCTTCAACACGCAGCATTGAATGCCTGTGATAAAAAAAAAAGGAATCAAAGTGTTTATAGAGGACATAAAAGTCAGATATTTGTCCTTGCATTAAGCTTTTGAATAGTTTTCAAATATACATCCCTTCCCTCCAAATCTGTGCTTGATCAGGTTTAAATTTAACTTGTTTGGTTTCTATTTATATATTGAGTTATCTCCCTTTCATCAGATTATATATGTACATTGTATAGATAATCAGATTAACTGCACATAGATATTGTAAAATATCATCTGCGAGCCACAATGTGAACCATTTCAGCAAGTGAGCGAAGCAACCAAGCAAGAAGCTTACATTGTATAGAGGGGCTGATACCTATGTAGAAAACTCAATAATCTGTTTAGTGTTCTACTACTGGTCTTTTCCCTCTAAATTAGACCATTTAGGCTTGACAAACGTAACCTTGATATTATCTTCTGACACATTGTGACATCAATGATAACTTCTCCTCAGACATAGTGACGTTGCTCATAATGTCTGCTAATGTCACCATAGATGTGATACGAGAACTACAGAGCAACTGAGCAGGGTTAACAATGACTGTCGTTAAGGAAAATACCTCTGCATTTGAGAAAGAATTATACATGTATTGTGAGAGAGTATACAATAAGGTGTATATTTATACGAAAACTGGTATCCAACGAATAATAATGAATCCACAGTATTTATAGACATCTTATCTGGCAATATATTTTGTTGTTTCCTGATTTTGGAGGCTATTTTCTATGTAGAATTAAACTGCAAAATGAACAGTACACTGTAATTCTGTGATTCACTCTTATATATAATACAGTCCAATCTCGTTGTGTCGAAGTTGAAGGGACCGGACAAAAGTATTCGACTCATCGGAGGTTCGAGTCATCCGAGGTCGAGTGCTTTGTCATACATTTGGAACGATTGAAATACTGTATGAGATTAGTGTAAACTAGAAATTTGAATAGTCTTTTTTTTATATTACACGTTATGAGTGTTCAATCTCCATATATTTTGGTCCCTCAAACATGGACAGATGCAAATCAATCACAAATAAAATCAATACACAAGATTTACAAAGGTCAGTCACTATAATTTATGAAATCACTCGAGGAATTTCGAACTGCAAGACATCAGGGTCAATTTACATAAATTTTACATCGACGGGACTATAAAGTTTACTTGACTAAACCGAGTATTCGAATCAATTAAGTTTGACTCATCAGAGGTAAATATGCATTGATCAAACGGGAATTTTACCGGGACCAAGAAATTACTTCGACTCATCCGAGTTTTCAACACAACCGAGTGGACGACACAACGAGGTTCCACTGTAATGAATTACTTTCTATATTTTATTATTTAGCCTTATGAATGTGGGTAAGGAAAATATCTCTGCATTTGAGAAAGAATTATACATGTATTGTGAAAGACTATATGCAATAAAGTGTATATTTATATATAGATATTTATCGGTCAATATTTTGTTGTTTCCTGAATTTGGAGGCTATTTTCCATCTAGTAAGAAATTAATTGGAAAATGAACAGTACATTGACTGATAAGTGATTCAGTCTAATAGCAGTCTTGAATTATCTTCTATATTTCATTATTTAGGCGTAGAGTTTTATAAGGCCTGATTTCCTCCTACTACCCTTAGAAAATAACAAAAAAGGGACAAAAGAAAAACCTCACAACAATTGTAAATAATAATTAAAGAAAAATTGAAAACAACACGTTTGACAATTTCATGCGTCCGAAGCGCTTTTCTGGATTTACCTTCATCAGTAACGCTCAATGCCAAACATTTGAAATCCGTGGGATGTATTAGTACCAAAACAGTTGAAGAGCTATATGACAAAAATACCTAAAACAAATAGCCAAATTCAACTAAGGTCAACTTTGCCAGAGGGAGTTGAAACCTTAGTTTCTTTATAATTTCAAAATTTATAAACGGACAATTTTAGAAAAGTTTGTTATAAATCATGTCAGTACCGAAGTACTGACTACTGAGTTGATGATACCCTCAGGGACTGATAGTCCACCAGCAGAGGTATCGACCCAGTGATGTAAAAAATTGAAAACAACACGTTTAATAATTTCATGCGTCTGAAGTGCTTTTCTGGATTTACCTTCATCAGGAACGCTCAATGCCAAACATTTGAAATCCGAGGGATGTATAAGTATATGACAAAAATACCTAAAGGAGAGGTAGACAACAACACCGTTAGCATTCAATAGAAGAATGAAATTTAGAAATATCAATTTTTATTAAGATGCCTCTTGTGTTTGTTTTAGATGATTCCCGACCATGAAATCATGAACAGAATGACAATTAACTTCAGATTATGAGGATTCACTCTTAATCACCATAGAATGAATAAAACATTAATGAAACGGCACCCCAAGCTGTACATGTGGAGGGAGTGATAAACACCCAACAATCAATCAGTCCTTTTACCAAATGAATTACTAGAAAGAAATAATATTTGATGAGGTCTTATACGAACCGTGTCGAAATTTTAAATTGTCATTTAGAAAGATTTTTAATAAACATAAAACTTATTATTATACTTCACATTAAAATGCCATATTTTGATTGGCTTATACGAGGGTGTTAATTTACTCTATCACATGGCTGAGCGGATGACAATTTTTTTGAATGTTACCCTCTCGCCCAGACCAATCAAAAATCGATAATTTAAAGGACAATAAATTGAATTTACATCAAGTTATTAAAGACAATGCTTAAGTTCTACATTTTGGCTCAGATTCTATTATTTGAAATAAAAGATCTTGCTTCACTTCTGTTGATTTTTCTAATACCCGTAATGTTGTTATGTATGTGACGCCATAGAAAATACTTTTAAATAAAATTCATCTGTAAAAGACAATAATGATAGGACATTCAGTATAATAAATTAAATAATACATAGCTGAGAGGGTGGTAGAGCAGATTGGTACCCCTCGAAAAAGCATTGTCAACCTTGGCTTCGCCACGGTTGACAATGTTTTCTTGGGGTAACAATCGGCTCTATCACCCTCTCAGCTATGTATTACTTATATAATGACATATACTTTTTACTTGGATGGAGAGTTGTCTCATTGGCACTCATACCACATCTTCTTATATCTATGTATTGTAAATTATTGAAAATTATTGATATGAATGTGTGTCATTCTATCAGTCAATCAATAGACATGAGGTTTGTTTTGGGTACAGCAATCTGTCCACTGGACATCTCCAATCTATCAGTAAAATCCAGGCTAAAGAGGGGGTCTTTTTGGTTGTGCAGGATGTATACATGTACACTCATGTCCAGTAAAATCAGATGTTACATCCTATGCCTCGAGTAAGAAGAGTGCCACATACTCTGCTTGTAAAAAAACACTGTAACAACTCTTTGCGGGTCCTAAATTGGTCAGTTGCAAGACAATTTTTCCCCATATCCAAAATACCCTCTTTTAAAGTAGCAATCTACATTCCCTTCCTTCAGGTCCACTTTCTTTGCAGAGTAACTTTTATTTTTTTTTATGTGATCTCTTCCTGAGTGTTTATGAAATATTTGTCACTGGACGTAAAGCCACCAGCAAAGAAAAGAATCCGATAACGCTTTCCCTCTGTATTGTTTTTTGTTTTTGTTAAATTGTTTTATCGTTCTTCTCAGGTTGCCTCTTGCTGGACCGGATCCTTGCAAGGTTTACAGATCAGTTTCTCTGACACTATAAGCAGAAGATCAACTATAATTGATGTATAAAATTGTTGTACAAAGGTGTACATGTCTGTCTGGCAGGATTCATCTGACCTTTATCTCATTTTCTTGGTTCATTGGTCATTTTTTTTGTAATGTGAAATACTCACTTATTATGAGACATAGGATAATTATGTTTGGTATATGGGATCCTTGCAAGGTCTACATGTCCGTCAGACAGGGGTCCACCTGACTTCAACCTCATTTCATGGATCAGTGATCAAGGTTAAATTTTTGTATTCAAGTCAGTATCTCATATACTATAAAGAAAAGGTCAACTATATATGGTGTATGGAATGATTTTGAGGTGTACATGTCCGACTTGCAGGTTTTCATCTGACCTTGACCTCATTTTCATGATTCATTAATCAATGTAAGTTTTGATAGTTTGATCTGTTTCGCAGGTACTATAAGCAATAATAAATCAGCTGTTTTTGGTGTATGGCATGATTGTAAGGTTCACATGTCTGACAGGTTTCATCTGAAAATGACCTTTTTCATGGTTCATTGAACAAATTGAATGATCAGTTTTTGTGGATTGTTCAATTTTTTAAGATACTTTAACTAAGCAATAAGGACACTATATTCGGTGAATGGATTCCAGGAATGATTGAAAGGTGTACATGTCTGTTGAGCAGGTTTCATATGGCCTTGACATCGTTTTGATGGTGCATGGTTTATGATAAGTTTTCATGGTTATGTCAGTTTATCAGATACAATTAGTAGTTTTATGGTTCATTGGGCAATGTTTAGTTTCGAAAATATGTTTATCAGTTGCCTTAAGCAACATGCTATCTATCACGGCCGACACTCGGCTAACCGAGAGATTGGTCGGTTAATCTATATTGAGTATGCGGCTATATGGGCGGTTGGTCTGTTAATCGGGTCGGTTAGGGGACGACCATTTGATATTCTGGGGGGGGGGGGGGGCAGGAGGATTTTGAAAATAAATAACTCAGCCTTGATAATAACAAAAATGAATGGTTTGGTCTGAGGTAGTTTGAAAATAAATAACCTGTCTTACAACGTATTGAAAATGGATAACTCGGCAGGTCTTTTAAGCCATTTTATAAATGCTTTTCTAAAGTATGAGATGGCACCAGATTCTTCCAAAATTCATCTTTTTTTCAAATTTTTTCCGGAAAACTTCCCAAATCTTTTAATAATACAATGTATAAATATCATGAATATTAATGTACTTGAAATGTCTGAAAATGGGTTTCATTTAACTTGAGGTATATTGTCTCAAGAACATTTACCCCACTTTTATTACAGGGACGTAACTACGTTGAGGCAAATGCCTCATGTTGGAAATTTTAAAAACAAAAGCTTGTCTTCATATCAGATTGTTTTCACGGCGAGTGTCTTGCAAGAAGCAAGGTCTGTTCACCCTCTGACGTAGCCCCCGTTTTTCAGGATCAATGTTTCTCATTTATTTTTAGTTTTCAGTGTTAGTTGTCTATTGTTTGTCGCTTTGTGTTTTATCTGTTCCCGGATTTGTCTTTGTTCATTGATTGCCCTTCTTTATTCTCTTAGTGTTGCATCCCATCGGTAATATAGTAATTTTTGTTTAAAATCTAAATTTTATTAATTTGAAGGACTTTTTATCTAATTTTACAAACTACTTTAAATTGTATCCCAGTAAGGAACTACATCAAGTTGTAATTGAAATGTGTTATAAAAACTTACTTGACATAGTTATATCAATGATAATCAGCCCCCTCTTAACTTAATTTGAAAAAAAAACCCACATAATTGACAGGAATAAAAGATTTTCTGTAAGCAGAAACACAAAAAAAAAAGAAAAAAAAACCAGCAGCCACATACTTTACTATGTGAATTACATTTTTGCTTTATCCTACATATTAGTCTTTAGATTGTATACCTAAAATCTAAAAGTCTTACACTGAATCTATATATTTTGCTTTGAGACCAAAATATTGTCGAAAAAGGAAAGAACGCAGAACTTGCGTTTCAGATTAAGAAAGGGTCTGGGAAATGCGCAAAATGCAGTATTTGGTATCATTTTTTCTATAGCTTCTTGCGGCAACCCAAACCCTTTGCCGAAATTTGTTCTTCTTTCGAATTTCTTTGTCATTACTTTTAAAGAAAACTATAGTTACAGCAAAATTAATACATTGTACGTATGCAATGTATGCAGTTTGGAATTCAGAAGATTCACTTCCAGAGGATGATGATTAACACTGATTATCTGGTGGTACATAATGACTTGACTATACATGTAATATATATTTAAGAATAAAAAAATGAATTTAAAAATTGTGTGTTTTCAAATATAATATTAAAATATAATTGTGAAAATAAATAATCAGTCCCTTGTTTTAATGAAAATGAAAAATCATGCTTCAACAGTGCAGAAAATAAATAATCTGTCCTTTAATTTCACAAAAATAAATAACCGATCCAATACAAATCCTCCTGCCCCCCCCCCCCCCCCCCCCCCCCCCAGAATATCAAATGGTCGTCCCCTTATACGTCTGTTAAGAGTAAAACGCACAATTTAAATGTTCAACTCTGTTAAATATACAGATTTTTGGCATATTATAAGAACCAAATAAAAAAAAGAAAAGTGTCTGTCAAAATGATATCTATCAGAACATTTTCCACCTGTAAAAACATTTCACAGTCTGCGCAAACTTCAGTAAAACTAAATGGCGTCGCGCAAGTATGTGGTATTTATGCTTATACGCATAGCAATTGTTTTAATAAACGGCGAAACAAACAATTTTAGATATCATTTAAAGGACACAAAATAGTACTTTGGTTCTAAATAATAAATTGACATTAGTAAATATTTCATAATTGTAATATAACGTGAGTAATACCACGTTTTAGTGACTATTAGGGGAATAAAGTCTGTTAATGGGTTGGACAATTAAAATTGTGTCAGTTAAGAGTTATTTAGCCACGACAATAGTTTTGCTACCTTCATGATTTCCCATTAAAAAAGTTAAGAATGAGATGTACTTGAGTAAAAAAAAATGACAATACGGTGCAACAGTATCCTTGTAGTAAGAGCATTTTTATTTTGATTTTCTTTGCATTTTATTGAAAGGTGTGTCACTGCAATATAGCGTGATATGGATTGGCCGCTGGAATATGCATGAATTTATTATTAACGTTTTCAATCAGCCTTGATTTTTGTGTCTGTTCAAAGAAGCACGTTCAAAAATCCGACTGAAAGTGTCTGTCTTATACAACACCGGGTACATATAACGTGTTGTCGTTCTCATATGGACATGATATTTGCCACTGGACGTTAAACCCTAATTCGTCAGCATCATCCAATTGGTTCTTTTGTTCTATTACTTAATCATATGTTGTTTACAAAACATTCTAAAGAAGTACTAGTAAATGGAAAGAAGCGAATGCAGCTACATTTGATTATCTTAATTTTTAATTCATTTTATTCCGTTTAGTTCCTTTCTACATAAGTGCAGAGGAGAACTGCAGTTGTGCGCTTGTAAAATTCTAGCATTTGTCACCAATTTGAGTACATCGCAATCCGTTACTGTTTCAACCACCCCCTCCCCCTGAAATTTTGTTTTGTTTGCACTTTACAATATTTAATTACTGAGCTATCAGATTCAGCGGTTGACAGGAGGCCAATGTTTATCGGACTCCAGTCTCAAATAACATAAAGTGATATGCAGTAAAAAAAATTGCAAAGCATCTATATAGATATCGTTGTCTATACTATTAATTTAAAAATAAGGAGATGTGGAATAAATGCCAAAATTGTTTTAACAATCATCCTGGAGGGTCTAAATAGTAAAAAGGGGTGTTTCATGTCTGTATTCTTAAACAATTGTTATTTTTCTCTCTTTTTTAGCAATGCATCACTCTCTACTGTCCTTATCTATTATTCTATATTCTGCGTCTCCATCCAGATTCTCGTGTATACCATGAGGGTCCGGATTGGGGGTGTTGTTTATTTCTGTATTCTTTAAATTGTTATGTCACTTTTCTCTACATTTTATTTATTTTTCTCATTATTCTTTCTCTATTCTTTATATTTAAGCATCCCAATAT